TATCAAGATTTCAGGAAGACTGACAGTGTTGATTCCAGAAAATACAGGAAAATCTGCAGAAGAAAAGCACAATAAAAATGCAAAACAGCAATAAAGTCAACAGTAGTCTCATACTACTGAAATTTGAGGATTTTCAAAAACATTCATGGATATATAAGTAGTTTAACTACATTTACAAATTTTCAAAGAATCACAGAATGTTTGCATTTTTTAATTGGATGGGACCTTAAATCACTTAATCCAATAGCACACAAAATAAGAATCTACTGGATTTATATCCACCCCACCCCAAAAGTCCATGTACATGCACGTGCTCAGTCATGCCCTGCTCTTTATAATCCTATACACTGTAGCCCACCAGGATCCTCTGTTCATGGGATTCTCCAGACAAGAATACTGGAGTAGGTTGCCATTTCCTTCTCCAGGGGATCTTCAGGGATCGAACCCACGTCTCTTATGTCTTCCGCACCAGCAGTGTAGTTTGCTTTAAATTCTCATAGTTAAATATTACAAGAGACAGGTCTTTCCATTGCTAGTCAAATCTAGTTGTTACACAGTTCTTACATTCTTGTCAAAAAAATATACAATTCATTCTATGCCTTCGCAACTTTCACCTGCTAGTTTATCTTCTATAACAGTATAATAAATACATTCTCTTCTATTTGTTTTTTAAATACCTGAAAACAGCTATACTCTTCCCCACCCTTCAACTAGTCTCTTGCTGAGTCTAAATGTATGGTCCACAGATTTCTTGTGTGTCCTGAAGACACTTCTGGGATAAAATGTACTTCCACATTGCAAGTAACCTTTAAAAACAACAGCCAACTGTTGAATTTTGGTGTAATATCAAAGAATAACTTCCCCAAAGGCTAGTAAAATAGTTTTTATCTAACTACATATCTATGTGAAATTGGGTTCTCAACACATGTCTCAATCAAAATACATCTCAACAGACAGAAAGAAGAAAATCCAGCTACCTTCTAGTATGCCAGAAATTAAAATGGTTTGTAAAAATATAAAACAATTCCACTAGCCTCACTAAAGTTTGTTTTAAAATATTTATTCATCATTTTAAAATTCATTAACATGTAATCAAATTGTTATTTTTAGATAAATGTTTCTGAAGTTATTTCATTACAAATATAGTAAATACCAAGACATAACCCACATAAACAAAATCTCTTTAGAGCCTGAATAATTTTTAAGGGAGTAAAGGGGGTCCTAAGACCAAGAAGGCTAAAACATAACCTATTTCTCAGCAGATCCCTAGACTTCTATCTTGAATTTCCCTTTCTCCTCTAATAAATAAAAATGCCTCTGTAAGGGAGGTGCCTACCACATATCTATGCATTCATGAGCTAGAATCCTTAAACATACACCTCGGTCTTGCTGCAGCAGGTGACTTCAAAAAATTAAAGCGTCATCTGATACATAACTTTTAACATCTTCCTACAGGTATTATGCAATCATCTGGAATCAAATACTTTTAACTCTTCTGTCTAAAGATGCAGTCTGTAAATACAGAAACAGATAGCAAGTTTATGACTATGATATAATCTTTCTGACCAAACTACTTTTGCTATTTATATAGAAGTAAAAAGCAAATTATTTATATCTGGAAAAATGGGGGGAAAAAAAGACAAGTCTTTTGTATAACCATTTATTTGACTCACAGCAGTAACCCATTCAAAAGTACTTATGTACCTTTATGAAAGGAAAAAAAAAAATCTATTCATCTAGCCAACACATACCTAGGCCTCGGCAAACAAAACTGACCTTATTTGAAAATTTCTTAACTTCTCACATCCTTATTCACAGAATTATTAGAAGATAAAGTGGGATAGAGAATTTAGCCACTGTGAAACCTAGAGCTACACTGCTGAGCACCTCTCAGAGAATTTTAAGACTGATAAAGGAAAAGCTTTGGAACTCCAAGGAAAGAAATTACTAATTGTGTGTGTTAGTCACTCAGTCGTGTCTGACTCTTCGTGACCCCATGGACTGTAGCCCACCAGGCTCTTTGGTCCATAGAATTCTCCAGGCAAGAATACTGGAGTGGGTTGCCATTTCCTTCTCCAATTAATACTCTACACTCTACCATACAAATTCCTGAATTCCAATAAATTCCTAAATCTTATGATTTAGGCTTATGGATAAGATACTTGTGGTGTACCTTTAAAAATAACCCATTTTCAAAATTAAGTACGCTTAAAAGGAGTTCATCACATATATAACTTGTACATATACATGTGTATCTCTTTTAAGTTTAAAATTTTCTATTCTATATTACATTAAATTGGCTCAATTTTTCAAGAAACAAAGTTTGTTCTCTCCTTGATACATACAGTCAAGTTCAATTAATAGTAATGTTTTTTACTAGCTATCAGTCACCAGCAATCAAAGCTATCAAACTTGGATTTCCCTGGTGGCTCAGTGGTAAGGAATCCTCCTGCCAATGCAGGGGACATGGGTTCAATCCCTGGTCCAGGAAGATGCCACATCCTGTGGAGCAGCTAAACCCAAGCACTAGGACTACTGACCCCATGCTCTGTAACAAGAGAAGCCACATTAATGAGAAGCCTGTGGACCCCAACCAAGAGTAGCACCAGATCACTGAAATCAGAAAAAAGCCTGCACAGCAACAAAGACCACGCAGAGCCAAAGATACTTTTTTTTAAAAAAAAAGCTCTCAATTTATACAACATACTAATATGTTACCTGGAAAAGATGCCAAGCACTTGTTAAAAACCGGGATCCCACTCAACAGACAATAGTAACACCTTGATTCCTAGGGCTTTATGTATGCAATTAGTGTTCCCATTAGTGAAATCTGAAACAATAGCTTCAATATGAATACATAACCCTACAGAAAATTAAAAGTTTTAACTTATTTCTTGGTTGGTCAAAAAAAAGCAATATACCACTGTCACCATACAGGTACTTGGGTGTGAAGAATAACTTACACAACAGCATGTCTTGTTATTTCATAAATTGAGACTATTTAGGTTATATAAAAATCCAAACTGCTGGAAAAAAAATCCACCTTATTTGGAAGTTCAAGCTAAATTATTCCAATCTTTCAAAATTTTAACACATCAGGAAAAGTGCAGAATAGTATAAAGATTTCTTAATGAGTTGAAGTAACCTCTGAAGTTCACAATCTAGATTCTACAGACTCAAAATTACTAACACTGATTACAGATGTTAACAGATGAACAATTCAACACTACTTCCTCAGTAACAAAAACAGTACTTGGCTCACAAAAAATGTCTCAATAAATATTTAAGAAATGAATAATAAAAAAAAAAGGTATAGCCTTAAAAAAAGTCTTTCCTAAGACATCATTTACTATCACTCATTATACTATCATTCCTAACACTACCATTTAGCATCTTAATGAAAGTACAGACAAAAGTAAAAGCATGCTAAAAGCACCAACTGCTGTTCACAAAATAGATTTTAAGACACTCATTTACAAATTTTCAAGTGCAGAAAGAAAAATCACCAGGTGTACTAAATTTGAGTTACTCAATAAATAAACTTTTATCCTCTAATAATCAGAAGTCAGGGTTGGGGGTGAGATGGAAAGAGGAAATGTCTGTCAATGTATTCAGAACGCTTAATGGATGCCATAAATCAAATCTTCCCATGAATTTTCCAGAGCAAATTCATGCCAATCTTTGAGCCTATTGTCACTTTCACACATGCTCACAGAACAAAATGACAAAGAACGCTATGCCTGAACCACTGGATTCAGGGCACAAACCACTTGACTAACAAATGTCAAGGCTCTGAGTCGTAAATACTGATAGATATTTTCAAAATAAACTAATCCCACCGACTCCTACATAAATCAAAGCTCTTGGTATCTTTAAAGGATTCACGAGACTAGTGGACTTCCCGACGTTTTTTCGAAAATGTGGCTACACTCTTCGTGTGTGACACAACTGGCCGTGAACAACCCATTTACCAACTGCTCGTGAATACCGCTAAACGTTTTCCAGACAAAAGAACGTTAAACGCGGTTCTACACACATTTATTCTTCCCCCATAAATATGTGTTCTCCTAAATTTAATTTTACGTCGTATGCTTAAAGTTAAATACACCGAGTTAAAATGTTAGTCAAAAGCACTCCGGTGTCTTACTAGCTGTGGAACTGCTACATCTGGTGGCAGCACACTTGCATGCAGGAAGCCAGAAAACTTAGAAAACAACTGTAACCGATCTGGTGAGTGTTTGCAGTAACCTTTACACAGCGACTTCCCACAAAACCCACGACCCTGTCGGAAAAGAATAGTAGCCTACTTGCAACAGAGAGGTAACACACAAATATGCAGGAGGTGATGGCGAAGGAAAGTTGCAACCATCTGGGTGGTTTTAAAAGCCTGCCCACGAATCGGTCCCTCGTTTAAACTGCTCGGGGCTGGGGGGTGGGGGGGGGGGCAGGCCCGGGATCAAAGTCGGCTTTGATAATTTCAGCGGCCCTCCCCAAAAGGTAGAGATCTTGCCAGTGAGGGGCATCTTCCAGGTCCCGGGCAGCAAAGCTCGCAGAGCGGGGACCGCCTCTAGGGGAGGAGTGCGCGAGGGAAGGGGAGGGGGCTCGAGGATGAATGCTTCACGGAGAGGGAAAGCCCACCAGAGACCGGAGGCCGGGAGGTTAAGAGTACTGAGTGTACTAGCAAATGGAGCAGAAAGGGGCTCGCGTCCGGGGTCAGGCTTCCCACCCTAGCAGGACTGGCTCTTAGGAACCCCAAGCGAGTCTGTGCGCCGCGCCGCGCCTCGCCCCGTCCTCTCAGCGCGCACCCCTTCGTTCGTCTTCTCCGCCACCCGCGAACCACCACCCACAGCTGGAGCACTACCTCCCCGGGGCCGGGCGGCCTCGCGTCCACCTCGTCCCCCTCCCCCACCCCGGGGTCGGGGGAAGGAGACCCGGGGACGCGCGGGCCGCGGCGCGGGGAAGGGAGGCCCGCGAGCGGGCGCGGGCGCGACGGCACTTACCTTCCCTGGGCCTCCCGGATGGCGGCGTGTGATTCAGCAGGGACCTGGCCGCCGCCGCCGAGCCCGGGGTTGGAGACGTGGAGAGCTGGGACCAAGATGGCGGCCCCTCCAAACTTCCACTGCTACTTTGGACACTCATCAAGCTACTTTCTGGGAACCCGACTCCCCCCCTGCGACGGCAGCGGCGGCAACGGCACCGGCACCCGCCTCCGTCATGGCGGGGGCCGCGCTGAGGGCGAGCAGGAGAGAGAGGGCAGGGAGGGGAGAGTCAAGGGGATGGGGGAGGAAACCAAGAAGGGGGGAGGTGGGGAGGGTAGAGGTGAGGGGAGGAGAAGGGACAGGGAGGAGGAAAAGCGGGAGAAGAGAGGGATCCGGCAGGCGCGCCGGGGAAGAGGCGGAGGGAAGGAGCGCTGCGGCGGAGGCGTCGAGGGGGCGCCCGCTGGGGCCGGGGTCGGTGCGCGGGCGGAGCGCGGGCTGCGCCAGCCGAGAAGACTTCCGCGGGCGGAACCTGCCGGCACCTCTGCAGTGCGTCGGCCCCCGGCGTCGCCCGGGTGGCGGCGGCGGCGGCGGGCGGTGGGTGGCGGCTGAGGCGGCGGGGTAACCTCTGCATCAGTTACGGGCGGCGGCGGCGTCACGCGCCGCCTGTGCAAACACTATCGCGAGGCTCCTGCGCCTCCGGTAGCGGCGGCGGCGGCGGCGGCCGCGGGACCAGGCTTGGGGGAGGGACCTGCCAGGGGTTGGGGGCGGGGGGGACTGGGGAGGGAACGAGCGCGCGAGGGAGGAGACGCGGGCGCCGGGCGCTCCTGGCGCACCCGCGGATCGCTGCGCGGCGCGGGAGCCCGGGGCCGGCGGACTGGCGTGCGCCGGGGGCGGCCTCCCGGAGCCGGCCGGAGGGAGGCGCGCCCCGCACGCGCCCCCGCCGCGCTGCACCGGCTCCCGCGCCCGCTCCGCTGCCACCTGACACCCCCTCTCTCCTGCGGAAGCGCGCCTGCCTTCAGACCCACACCCAGCTTGGGGGGAAATGCTTCTGCTCTCTCTGGGCTGTCGTTTCTCAGGAGTTCGATATGATCATTTCTCAAAATGGAACTGCGAAGTTGAGAGTTCCCCCCCCCCTCTCTGTACTGTGTTAAAAAAAAAAAAAAAACAATAACCGGTGTGCGCCTCCCCGTCTACAGAACGGGAGTGGTTATCGAATAAAAGAGCTAATAAAATAAGTTGGGGGGTGGAAATAAAACTTCACAAATGTTTTCCAACAAAAAAGACAATCTTGACTGGTGTGTGCACTGTATGTGTGGTCTAGCAGTTCTTTGTTTTAAAACAGTAGGTGGAAAGTCTGAATAGAAAAATTTGATCACCGACTTCACATTTTTAGGGTATGAAGAGGGTATGGTTTCTAGAAAGTTCCAGTGACTGCCACGGCTGAGTCGTGACTACAAAGTCTTGAAGCGAACTACAGCATCTGTTAAAATTTATAGTTACAATGTAACTTTCTACACACCCACACAGGGACAGACACATCAGGAATTGGGCATCTTGTACATAAAAGAGCTTTCTAATAGTTCAGGAAAAATACAACGAAGTTATTGCTCTCTTTAAAAAACCAAATTGAATAGAACACTAAAAAGATTATGATATAGAGTAACTGTACAGGCACGAGGAAATGGCATTACCAAGGGAACAAAAATGTCACTTCTATTTTTTATTTTTATGACTCTGCGCTTGTGATAGTAATGTTTTGTTCAGATAAACTATCATATTAAAATAGAACCTTGCTTGTCAGTTATCTCCAGAAGGAACTTTACTTTTCTTGGGCTTTAGATTCTTCAGTGAGTTTTTAGTTATGTTCTGCTTTTCAAATTTAAAAGGTAATCTCACAAATTAAACAACTACAGTGAGGTATGATTAACATACAATAAACTGCACATATTTAAAGTATGCAATTTGATGTTTTCATATGCATAGAACCCTGAAACCATTTCTATAATCAAGATAGGATATCCATCTGCCTCCAAAATTTCCTCTACCCCTTTCTGGTTCCTCTTTCCCTACACCCCCATCCCCAAGTAACCACAGAGCTGCTTTCTGTCAGTCTGCATTTCCCAGAACTTTAGATAAAAGGAATTGTACAATTTGAACTCTTTTGTCTGACTTCTTTTACTCAACATAATTACTTTGAGACTGATCTACATTGTTGGATTTATCAATAGTTCATTTTTTTCTTTAAGAGTATTCCATTGTGTGAATATACCACGCTCTGTTTATTCATTCACCTGTTGATGAAATTTGGATTGTTTCCACTCTTTTACTATTATGAATAATGCTAGTATGAACATTTGTGTACAAGTCTTTGTGTGGACGTATGCCTTCCTTTCTCTTGGATACATATCTAGAACCTTACATTAGATTTTTATACCAAAGTGCATACACCCTAAGGCAAAACAAGAGTTCCTGTAAGACAGGTAATAGGTAGCTGTATGCTCTCAGTATTTTAAAAGAAAAAGCTTAGTCAGCTGATTGTGGTGAAAAGGACAGAAAAGAAATCAAGAGACCTGGATACTAGTCTCAGCAAGTAACAATCCTTGATTTAATTTCCTCATCTGTGAAATAGAGGTTAGAGTTGCTCGGTGATCTCTAAAGCTCCTACCAATTTCAAGATTTTATACAGAGCTCAACTCCTCTGGAAAGTAGTAAACAAAACCCAACCAAAGAGATTTGATAGCAGGTTATCTTCCTCCCAATCCTCCCAAGAGCCTCAGGATACCTGTACGCCAACACCAGTTACATTTTATGCAGACTGACTCCTTTTATTTTAAATGGTAAATAGAGGATCACAACAAATCCAAATACATAATACAATTACTTTCAATTTGTTTTTGTTTTGAGTGCTGCCTTGGAAAGAATTAAATGACTGATTCCTACTTTCTTGCAGCTTATGATAAAGATAGTCAACATGACTGACTTACAGAGAGGCTACTGCCAGCAACAAGGAACTACTTAAATAAACCGTGGCTTAGCCTGAAAATAGAATGTTATGCCATCGCTTAAAATCATGTCTTTGAAAAATACTTAAAAGGATGATCAAAATTTCCTTGTATATTGTAAGTGAAAACAGGGTTATGATCCCAATTTGTTTGTAAGTATGCAAAGCAAATGACTTCAAGGATGCACTCCCAAAAGTGTATAGCTAGCCTTGGGTTGTAAGATTGCATAATTATTTCTTTCTGCTTTTCCAAATTTTATACAATGAATCACGTATTAAGTAATTTAAGCATAAAAAGGATATGGACACAAATTGTGCAAAGACATAATTTTATGGAATTATTATAAAAACTTTTAAATAGTAGAGGCTCCTGCATACCTTGTACACTGGCAAGGACACAGGCATTTGAATAATATTTGATAGAGATAGATGCAATGGTTAGAGTGATAGCTTGCCCAATAGGACAAGATATAAGAAAGTCAGGAGAGTCCAGGTTCGGCCACTCAGGGAAAGGAGAAATATCAATAAAAGCAAGAAAAGATCATTGGGAGGGGGTTACAGCCAGAGGGAAGCTCAGGGATGAACTGAGTAAGAGGAGAATGCAGTGAGACTGCCTGCAAAGACCTGGGCAGAGAGTTCTTTCTGTGACTTGAGAGCGCCATGAAGACAGAGACTAAAGTCCATTCCACAATGCCTGACACAGAACCAAGGGCTCTGTCAATGTTTGCGGAATGGATGATGAGGAATGGAGCAGTGCAGAAGTCTTCAAGGGTCTTCTGATATAAGATCATATACAAAAATGGAGATCTTAGCCCTGATCTACAGGCTAGTCAAATTTACAACTATGTTAATGAGACTCTTCTATTTATATAACAGAGTAAAAAAATTTTTTGCAAAGCATCCAATATTATATATATATAATAAATGCTTTCTAATACCTCTTAGCATTTGATTCCTTCTAAATTTGAGGAAATAATTAATCTCTAAGTCCCTTCCCCCAAACCAATCAGAAAAGAGCCCAGAAATTGGATGAGAGGTCCTTTCTAAGTACTCTCCCAGACAGTGGCCTGCTGGAGCCAGTTCATACAGCCCAAAGAGCAGATTGTACAAGTCTCTCCCTCAACTCTGAGTTCAGTGCCCCCACACTGGTAGCTTGAAACTGGCCATGGTAAGAGTATTTACAACTCCAAAGTCAGCAAAATCTGCATATCAAGGCTTCTTTGCCAACACACCACTGCTCCCACAGCACACAGATCACTGCCTTATTATCTTCCATTTCCCCACCCTGGCTAAAATCGTAGTGAGGGCAAGGACCTTGTCTGTCATGTTAGCAGTTATACTCTCAACATCTAGCACCTGCTTGGCTTTCAGCTGGTGCTGATACATATTTGTTGAGCTGATCAATTACCCACATAGCTGATTAGCAAGCACCTGAGCCCCCTGGGCTAATCTGCTGGTAAACAACTGAGTTGGCCACGCTAGGTGAGGGAGAAAAGGCCAAATATTCCCCCACCCCCTCACACTTACACTTCATTGGCCAATGACTGTGATTTGGTAAAGTTCACTGACCTTGGTAGGGTTGCCGGATGAAATATAAATTTTGCATGGGCCATACTTAACACTAAAAAGGTTTTTGTTGTTTATATAAAATTCAAAGGTAACTGAGAATCCTGTATTTTCAATTGCTACAGCTGGCAACCCTAGTCCTTTTTAACTAAGCCAAAAAAAGTTGATGAAGTATTACCTAGTAAAGTTGAAGATGCTACGACCCAGCAATCGCATTCCCAAAACTGTATCTTTAAGTAGTTCTTGTTTATGTGCACCAGGAGAAAGAACAGGCATGTCCATAACACTACTATTAACAGCAGCCAAACACTGGAAACCACCCAAATGTTTGTTAACAAGAAAATAGGTTAATAAATAGAGTTGTGTATATTCACACAATAGGATACTATACAACAATTAAAATTCTCACAGGCATGATGCTGATTTACATGACCAAATTAAAGAAAGATGAAGTCAGTTTGATTCATTTATAAAACATTCAAACCTAAATAACATAGTGTTCAGGGATATATCAGTATGTGTGGCAAAACTAGAAAGAAAAAAGAAAAAGGAATGAGAAGCCAAAATCAGAGTCACTAGTTCCATCCAGGAAA